GATTCACATTGATATGAGAAATTGTTATATACGAAAACGATAAAAACAGTTTGACAGAAAAGTGACACCTTTACGTGTCAAAAATATAAAAAGTGATATTTTATTCATCATTATCTTCTTCATAATTTATTTCATATTCTTCGTCTTACCAACAAAAGATGGGAATGTGAACAATTGCGGGCAATTTTTAGCCATTTTGGCTTGGAACTAGAGCCTGCGAGGTACATGGATAGTATCAGTACCTCACAGGCTCTAGTTCTCTATATGGCGCCGAGAAATTTTGGTGAAATGTGGTCGCATTTCACCAAAATTTTTTCGGCGCCATAGGATGAATTGGAGGGTGAGAGATATTATTTCATACAATACTACTCTCACCCTCCAATTCCCAGCCAAAATGGCTAAAAATTGCCCGCAATGTGAACAATTGCGGGCAATTTTTAGCCATTTTGGCTTGGAACTAGAGCCTGCGAGGTACATGGATAGTATCAGTACCTCACAGGCTCTAGTTCTCTATATGGCGCCGAGAATTTTGGTGAAATGTGGTCGCATTTCACCAAAATTTTTTCGGCGCCATAGGATGATTGGAGGGTGAGAGATATTATTTCATACAATACTACTCTCACCCTCCAATTCCCAGCCAAAATGGCTAAAAATTGCCCGCAATGTGAACAATTGCGGGCAATTTTTAGCCATTTTGGCTTGGAACTAGAGCCTGCGAGGTACATGGATAGTATCAGTACCTCACAGGCTCTAGTTCTCTATATGGCGCCGAGAAATTTTGGTGAAATGTGGTCGCATTTCACCAAAATTTTTTCGGCGCCATAGATGAATTGGAGGGTGAGAGATATTATTTCATACAATACTACTCTCACCCTCCAATTCCCAGCCAAAATGGCTAAAAATTGCCCGCAATGTGAACAATTGCGGGCAATTTTTAGCCATTTTGGCTTGGAAACTAGAGCCTGCGAGGTACATGGATAGTATCAGTACCTCACAGGCTCTAGTTCTCTATATGGCGCCGAGAAATTTTGGTGAAATGTGGTCGCATTTCACCAAAATTTTTTCGGCGCCATAGGATGAATTGGAGGGTGAGAGATATTATTTCATACAATACTACTCTCACCCTCCAATTCCCAGCCAAAATGGCTAAAAATTGCCCGCAATGTGAACAATTGCGCGGCAATTTTTAGCCATTTTGGCTTGGAACTAGAGCCTGCGAGGTACATGGATAGTATCAGTACCTCACAGGCTCTAGTTCTCTATATGGCGCCGAGAATTTTGGTGAAATGTGGTCGCATTTCACCAAAATTTTTTCGGCGCCATAGGATGAATTGGAGGGTGAGAGATATTATTTCATACAATACTACTCTCACCCTCAATTTTAATTACTTAAACTCATTCTATTTTTTTGACATGTAAATGTCACTTTTACTGAGATCTGACACAATGTCAGATCTCTTTTTTTCGTATATAAGAAAATAATACTTTTTTCCATATCTATGTGTTATTGAAACATCATAATTCAATAAGGAAAACTTATTTTAATCCTCATTAATTTTTTTACTTGTATCTTACAAAGATATTTTAATTGATATTATGTAGAAAAAAAAAAAAAAAAAAAAAAAAAAGGTAGTGGGGCTTCCAGGCACTTCGTGCCCTCTAGCCCCGAAGATGTTTAGAATATGAGAGAGGTCCTATAAACCGGAGAAAGTGTCATATAAACATCTGTCATTTTACTCAGAATTTTCATGAAATTTACACCAAAAATATATTTTAGGGTAGAAGGGTATATCTAACCTCTTTTCTAACCTCTTTTCTACCCTCTTGAATTTTCATGAAATTTACACCAAAAAATATATTTTAGGGTAGAAGGGTATATCTAACCTCTTTTCTAACCTCTTTTCTACCCTCTTGAATTTTATGAAATTTACACCAAAAATATATTTTAGGGTAGAAGGGTATATCTAACCTCTTTTCTAACCTCTTTTCTACCCTCTTGAATTTTCATGAAATTTACACCAAAAAATATACTACTAGGGTCATTTACGAAGAAATCTCAACAAAGTCTTTACGATGAAGTCTTGACAAAGTCTTTACGAAGAAGTCTCAACAAAGTCTTTACGAAGAAGTTTAACAAAGTCTTTACGAAGAAGTCTTGACAAAGTCTTTACGAAGAAGTCTCAACAAAGTCTTTACGAAGAAGTCTTAACAAAGTCTTTACGAAGAAATTCATGAAAATTCAAGAGGGTAGAAAAGAGGTTAGAAAAGATTAGATATACCCTTCTACCCTAAAATATATTTTTGGGTCATTTACGAAGAAGTCTTAACAAAGTCTTTACGAAGAAGTCTCAACAAAGTCTTTACGAAGAAATTCATGAAAATTCAAGAGGGTAGAAATGAGGTTAGAAAAAGAGGTTAGATATACCCTTCTACCCTAAAATATATTTTTGGGTCATTTACACTCATTTACGAAGAAATCTCAACAAAGTCTTTACGAAAGTCACAATAAAACATCTGTCAAAAGCCGCTTTTTAACTTCACTTAAAATGCCACGTAAGCTACGTAAGAATATACGTAAGAGGAAGAGAGCATTGAAACATCCAATAGTAAAACTGACACCACAACAACGTTGCAACAACAAATTATGAATGACCCCACTATGTTGCAACAAATGTCAAGCAATCCTATGCTTTTAAACCGAGTCATTGTGCACAGAGTGGAGGTTTAAGAGCGGGCACTTTTAGCGAAAATGGCAGGCTATGGTGGAGCTGCAGACGGAACAGCATATAACCCTCAAAGTCAAATGAATTTGAGTTCACTCAAAAATCAAATAACAGATGTCAAAAAGTCAAACATAGACATACAGAAGCAAATAAGCGAAAACGAAAAGAAACTAGAAATGACAGACACACAAAGAAACTCAATGAGTTAAACGTAGAGAAAAGAAGAAAGAAGAACAACTGAAAGAACTAAGTACAGAGGAATATGCGAAAAAAGTGTCAGAAAAAGCAGCAGAAGTAGCAAAAATGGAAAAGATGTCATAATTTGAAAAAACCATACTCAATCAATATAAAGTACTGAAAGATGAAGAGATAAAACAAAAGCCCTGAAGACATATATGGATAGCGATGAGTATAAAAAAGAAGTTGAAGCAAATGTAAAGGCAGAAAAACTTTTACAGTTGCAAAACCAAACCGTACAGTATGAAAACTTAGCACAAGAAAGTAAAAATAACGACGCGGCTATGCAAAAGGCAATGAAAAGCGCAGAATATATAAAAGCTAACAATGACTGGTTAGATGCCCAAGCCAACGCTAAAGCAGCCCAACTCATAGGGTCAATAAGGACAAAAATACAAGCGGATGAAGATAGTCAATGAAGCTTTAACAAATGCTGACTTTAAGAACGCTTTCGAAGCTCTTCATAGTAAGGTGAAACTAGTGAACGACTTCTCATCTGGAAGAAAAACTGAAGTCTGAAGGTTTCGACAAAGAGTTAAGAGAAGTAGCACAAAATATGACGAAAATAACAGATGCAGCACGAGACAGGCAGTTCAAAGTGCCTATGACGCCGTTAGAGCAACTGTTGTGAAAAGTCAAGAAAAGAGTTACAAACAGACCAAAACAGACCTAGTAAATGCTTTCTTAAGAACGAAAAGTCAGGTAGGACATTAGCTGCAGATGGAACATATGTGCCAGCTGGTGGAACTTATATACCACCAAACCCTCCAAGAGAAGCACCTGCACCAGACTACCTAAAACATTTACATCGTCACATGGACACAGACACAGGCATGCACCAAAACCAACACAACAACCAACACAACAACCAACAAACAACCAGCACAACAACCACCTCCACAACAGCACAACAACCAAACACAACCAGCACAGCAACCAACAGTTCAAAACCTGCACAACAACAACCACAAACAGAGCAAGGACATAAAAGAAGTAGAGAACAAGGAAACCAAGAATTCTTAAAAATGCTTAAAGAAGAGTGTGGTTTCCCAGATACTGTTGACTTTAGTGACAGATATAAAGAAGCTATTGGAAAGTTCAAGGATGGAAATACTGACCCGAACCTATTTAGCTTTATGACTCAGCACCAAATGGGATATAATTTCAAACCTGGAAAATACAAGCTCGCTAAGGGATATGATTTAATAGCATATCATCCAAATGACATGAACGAATTTACTCCGAGATATTTGATGTCAGAGCTAAATGACAATACAACTTTCGTCATGAAACGCGTAAAAAATAGAGACGGAACGAAAGAACAAAAGCTTATGAATGCGGATGACGTAGATAGGGAAATTGTTGAAAACGGTCTCGGAATATATGAAAATGCCAGCAGATGAGGTACAAGAAACTCCACAGGAAGAACTAGTTCAGATACAACCAGATATGGAAGAAATAGTTCAGCAACAACAGCTAGAAGAGCCTGAAGGAAACGAACAAGTCACTCCTTTGGAAACTAACTTCACAGAACTAGATGAAGATTTGGAACAGCCGAAAAATCTTGACCCTCAACAAGAGCATGAGGTGAATATGGAATCTTTCCAAGAGTCTAAGAAAGATTCGGCTGACATAGTAGAAGAATATCGAAAAATGTTTGCCGACATACAAAAGACTCCAACACCAGATGAAAATATTCAGCATAAGAATGGAAGAACTGAAAAAAATGTACACAAATACAACAACCCTTTTTACTTACGAGCATTTAACGTTCAATCTTCGGATGAACTCGGTGAAAATAAAAGGTTAAATTTCAAGAAAACATATAGAAATGAAACATTGTTTAAAGTTCATTCAGAACCTAACCAAGATGGAAACAAACCTACTTTTGTTTCTGCAGACGATGGAACTACAATGAGATGGGGTCATAAAGCTAATTCGGAAGGTGGTTCATAAACTTACAACCTCAATTCCAAGAAGTTGTAGACGCAATGGAAGAATGGTGAACGAGATATAGCTGGTATTTTCAGCGCGGCTTTAATGCCATTGAAAGATATGAAAGATGCAGATATTTTGGACCAGTATGAAATGAACATGGCTGATGGAAATATAACACCTGACGTTCTAGAACATTTATCTCAAAGAACTACACAGAACCATAGAGATGGTATATTTGGTGAAGAGTTTAGAAAGAAAGTTAGGGAGAGAGAAGGAAGAGAACCTATTGTACATGACCTTGCAAACGAAAGTTTACAAAATGTCATAAAAACTTACTTTGCAGACAATGAACCGAGAAGGGATGAATATTTAAGAAAACTCAAATGGACAGTACCAAATGAAATGTTAGTATTGAAAAACATGTTCCTTGACAAAATAAAACCAACTACAGAAATAAACGACGCAAGACTGAAAGATTGGGTAAAAGCTTTCCCATTCACAAAAGATATTGTTGGTAACATGGAAAGAAAACCAGAATGGCTACAAAAACATATATTTGGAAACGAGCTTATTCCATATGGACAGCACTGTTTGAAGAGCTTGAACCTGAAACTCAGGAAAGAGTCATGCAAACAATAAAGGAAGACTCAAATACAAACTATGACAAAATCTTTCTAGGATATAGGTTACCTGAGATGGGCGACCAGAGCCAAAGGCAAAAAGGGCATGGAAAATTTGCAACATACTAATGAACATGAGGCAAAGATGCAACAACTTCAAGCAGAGGGCAATGAAGGAAAAAGAAGAGTTAAAAACTCAGTCAGGAAGAAAGTAAAGCTTGGTCCACGTGGGTTCTATTATGACATATAAATCCAACTATTCTATATTTTTACTCATATGAAATGTACGCCGCTCAGAATATAACGCCAACAGTTTTGGATGCTATGAATGGAAATGTTTCCGAATGGTATAACGAATGCGACAATGCCATTAGAAGGTCAGAAATAGTTCCTGGAACTTACGAATATACAACTGCTGTTTCTTATGGAAACGTAGGTGAGTTTGGAGAAGGTTCTTCAACAACAGTAGATATTGCTTGCGACAGGTTTCATATAATTTCTATTGACAACTCTTTCTTATACGTGGAACAAGACATTGAAATAAAACCTTCTGCCAAGTTGTCTGACAAGAAAGGTTGCAATGGAATTTTCTATGTCGGATACCAATATGCTCCAGAAGTTTTCATGGGATATAAGATATATTCTAACTCTGACTTAGTTCAAACAGTAACATGGGCAAACTATGAATGGTTCGCTTTGAGAAACTCAGTACAACCACAAGCTAGAGAACAAACAGACCAGTATGCAACTATTGAGAAAATAAGAAGACTTGACCCTAACGTTCCAGGAGTTTATGTTAACCTTTCTGGACAAACTGCAGCAGCAGTAACCAAAGTAAAACTGAAACTTAGAGTTCCTTTGTCATCTTTCCTCATCTTCAGGTTTTTAAGATACTTGCCAACTGGGCAGGAAAAATTTCTATCGAACTTACTCCAAGCAAAAATAACTTAGTCATTGCACCAACACAAGACCCATTCACTCTTACAGAAGTAGTGGAACAAATAAAATGTCATTCGCCGACTTTTGCAAAAACAAAGTTGACTTAGACTTTGGTTTCTCAAACCTCAACACTGAAGTAAACTATTATTTCAATGCTGCTGGAGATGCTTGGGGACCCAGTTAAGTTCACATGCGAAAAATTTGAATGCAAGAGAATAGAAAGCAGACTTGCAGTCTATATGTTGGACCCAGATATTTCAAATGCTTTAGCTGCCAAATATATTGCAGTTCCACTTATGTTCCCTATACACCAAATATCTGTCAAAGACTTTGCAGGTGAAGTTGGAAACCAAAGTGCTGACCCAGGTGCAAGAACAGATATTGCCTTAACAACTGCAATGAAACATGCAGATACTATGTTTGTACTGTTCAGACGAACTATAAATGACTATTCTTGCTTCTACAACCCTGGTATTAAATACCATATAAACATAGATGGCAAATATTATCCAAGAGAAAGAATATTCTACAGTTGAGGATATGAGGTCATACAACTTGACATTAGATGCTATGAACTTTTAACAACAACTTCACAACAACCATTAACCCTGAAATGCAAAGTTCTATTATGCCATATGTGAAAGTATGGACTCATACAGGAGCTCAAAAAAACTCAATATACAAATGGAGACCGTTCAAACTTTTGGCTTGGCATTCCATTTGCTGACTCAGAAGACTTTATGGGTGGTATTTCAACTGTTGGTACTGTACAAATACAATATACTGGTGACAGAGACGGTCCAGATGAATTGAGAGCAAAGAAGTTTACAAAACCAATAGCACTTTTCACGGAAGATGCTCTTTTGAAGATTCGTTCGATGAAACCTGCTGGGGCTCCTCAGATTGCATAACGACAGCTTCCATCGAGCAGATTTTGGCAGCAGGTCAGTAAGTTGTTCTTGAACTGACTTCTCTCCGTCAAATATTGACAGTACGCCAGTTTTGACATAATACTGTATTATAAACTTTCCTTTAGTAATATCGGTCAGTTTTGAAGTTATATTTTTGTCTGCTTCAAGAACTTTCACCATCTCGGTTATACCAACTTTCTTTGCTTTATGAAAATATTTTGGTTCAGCAAATATTGCTATTCTATAACATTTACCATTGTTTGTATAAAAGAACTATTCTGTCAATGTATTGTATTGTTTGTGTGTGTAAACTTTGTTTTGCTTCAATTCGAAGAGATACTCGAATACGTCCATCTTTTTATTCTAAGTAAAATGTCATTTCCGAAAAATAGAAGCGTAAGTGTTTCAAAAGGTTTAATGGCGGTGGCAGATGTGAAGTTAAATTCACCAACTCAAACAACAGTCAAAGTGTTGTTGTCAATGTCAAAGACAGAGATGTTGAAGTGGGGAAACCATACGAAGACGAAGATGGTATAGCAATTGTTCCTGTAAAAGAACAACCAACATATCCTGAAGTTAGCAGAGACTTAAGTTCTGTTGCAGATATTCGAAACGACTACCAACAACTTAAAGACAAACTTAAAACTCAGGAGAAGATTTGTCAAGCTTTGGGTATATATGTTAAACTTGGTTGAGCACAACCCTGTAAAAGTGAACTCATATGTCATTGCACCTCATGAAGTTTTGAAAGAACTATTGAAACTTTTGACAGAGGCAGATGATATAAACATCAAAGAAATAGAACCCGACATTGCTTGCTGTGGTGTTTCATATAATGTCATTGACAAGATATACGTTATGAAAGGAGGTGAAACGTTGAACTTAAAATATAGTTTCCCAGACGTCATAAAAATATTTGACGACCACAACATTTCATTAAAATTTAGTTGCTAAGTAAATGGCAGAAGACATAATGGTTTATACTATTACGACTAAAAACCCTGAGTCATATAATTCTATAAAACAAACTTACAAAGTCCTCAAGGACGATATTGTAAACTAACCTTAAACACAATGACGACTAAAGCCTGTTTTGCTCTTTTGACACCAGAAGACTTTGTTGTTGTGAATGGTAAAAAATACTTCTTTGAAGATACTTACTCAGATATACCACCAACAGGTTTTGTTGACTTATTTAATACTTTAAGGACGGATGTAACATGTGCTGCAACTAGAGCAGGTTTCATTATGTTTGGATGTCCGACCGAGTTTAGTATAAACGATATGAGCTATAATACAAAACTTATATCTGGTTTTTACTACCAACAGTTTCCTATAACAGGAAAAGGTGTCATACAAGGTCTATCTGTTCCATTGACTTTAAGTACACCTATTTTATATATTGTTTCAAACTTAGGTTCAAAGTGCTATTCGAATGTCGACAGAAACTACTATGACCAAAAGATACTCATGCGTATAAACAACACTTTCTCTGCTGGTTTTGCCTATTGTTCATTCGAATGCAGAGTTTTCAGCTTTAGTGAACTCAAACACTTTAGCAAACATAAACTTAACCTTAGTTGACGCAAACTTTGTTCCTGTAAAACTTTTATGTCCTATGTATTTGTCAATGACGGCAGAAAGTTTCGAATTGGAAGATGCAACTGGTGAAAGTATTGTATTACAAGAACAACTTCAACAACAAATAGCTCAAGAACAACAAATGCAACAAATAGCTCAAGAATAAAAAAAATATTTTTTTTTTTATAAAAATGTACAGAATAGATGTTTCAGATTTTTATGACTTCCAAGCGTTCAGAAATATGTGTCCATTTCGAGACTATAACAAAGCAGTCGAGAATTTGAAACGTTTAGTCATTTATGTCGACTCTGCCCCAGAATGTTATGTCATGAAAGAATGGGATGTTGTCTTTAACAAACCAAGAGCAACAATAGTTTCAGAACAAGAATGTAGACAGAAACTTAAGAAAATAAAAGTCGTACAAGTTGGAATGAAGATGTTAGATGCTTGGGATATCTTATTGTCAAAGTTAGAAGATTTTTCAGTTCGAGGTATAAAGTTCTATACACCTTCTCCAAACTTCTATTCTATCTTCACTGGATATAAATATGAACAAGTAGAATGGAAAGAAAATATTATAGAAGCTTGGTTAGACCATGTCAAAGAAATTATATGCAATGGAAACGAAAGAGTCTATGAGTATATCTTATGTTGGTTTGCAAACATCTTACAACATCCAAGTGCTAAAAATGAAACTGCTCTCATTATAATTGGAAAACAAGGAACTGGTAAGAACACTTTCTTTACAGATATCTTATGCAAACTGTTAGAGGGCTATTCGAACCCTAATATGACAAACTTAGAAAACATCTGCGGTAAATTTAACTCTTCAATTGAGAATATGAAACTTATAGTTTGCAATGAACTTCAAAGTATAGATACAACAAAAGTTTTGAACTCAGATGCTTTGAAGAGTCTTATAACAGACAAAGTTGGAGTTGTTGAAAGAAAATATAAAGACCAAAGAGTTTGTGAAAATGTTGCAAACTTCATTATGGTTTCAAACAATACTGTTCCGATGAAGTTAGAAAGTTCTGACAGAAGATATGTAGTTGTCAGAACGTCAGATTCTCATATGCAAGATACAGAATATTTTGACGACTTAGCAGAAACTTTGACACCTAACTTTTACAACCACTTGTTCTCATATTTTATGACATTAGATATTTCTAAGTTCAATCCAAGACAAATTCCACATACCGAAGAAAGACAAACATTGTTAGAAGCAAACAAGAGTGTTTATGAACTGTTTATAGATGAGACTAACTTTGAGTGTTTAGATGAAAGGTCATTGTACGATTCGTATAAACAATATTGTCAAGAATATGGTTATATGGCAGCTTCTAAACGTACATTCTTGGCAAATGTCAAAAGTCTTTTAGATGTTCAGAATGGCGTATATACAAAGAAAAATTTTTATGAGTAAATTTTAAAAAAATATTTTTTTATCCGATAGAAAAGATGACGAAATTCATCTCAGTAAATAAGTACATGACAGAAGTCAAAGAAGAACTAGACCCATTCGCTTATTTGAATGTTTACTTCTACCATTTTGAAAAGTCTACATTTGACAAAGTTTGGAACATCGAACCAGTTTAAGTTTGCTATTGTGACTAAAAATGGTGCGAAATTTGAAGACTTAGACATAGAAGGTTTGTTAACAGTCAAAGAAAATTTTGACAGAAGGTTCTCAAACCTTAAAGAAGGCAAAGCATACAAACTTGTTATACCTTATGAACCAAAGAAGACAGACGACTATGAATATTATGAGTCTAAGATAGTTGAAGTTCAAGGTAAGTTGGGTAAAAAGATTTTAGAGTCTAAGCCAGTGTTTGCCCCTAAAGAGGAAGAGAACATTGACATTGACCCAGAAATGTTCTAAAAATAAAATTTTATTTTTACATGTCATATCTCACCTTCTCTGGAACTGGTTCTTTCTTCTCTTCTTCTACTTTCTTTTCTTTCTTTTCTTTCTTTTCTCTCTTCTTCTTCTTTTCTGGTGGGGTTATGTCAAACTTCTCAGAACCATATTTTTGTAAAAGTTCTTTGTCCTTTACTAGCTCTTCTATTCTGTTTTCTATTTCATCTTCAAGAACAGCGCATGTGTCTTCTTTGCATTCTAAGAACTTTTGTTGGACTTCATCTTTCCAATCGGCGTCATCTCTGTCAACAAGTCTGTCATTGACAAACTTAAAGACTTCTCTGCCTAATGTTTTATGGTTCTTGTCATATTCCCAGAAACAGAACTTTAGAACAAATTCACCTTTCTTGTTTACACTATGTAAGATTTTATGGTCGACAGATGTTTTGCTGTCAAAAAGTTTGTCTCGAATATAGATAGCGAAATCGCTAGACATTTTCTAAAAGATAAAATTTTTAATTTTTCTAAAAATATGTTAGAAAAAAAGTTTGCTGACATTGACAAGAAATTTGAGAATGTTTTAAACAAGAACAAGAGGAAGTTAGAAAATGCTCAGATAAAACCTATACATGACAAGTTCTTATTTGCTCAGAATGGTATAACAGGTCTAATCGCACCACCTGGGTCGGGTAAGACTTTCACTTATCTTAAAATGGCTGCACAACAACAAGAACTAGATGAGAAGAACCCATTCTATGAGTTAGTAGTCATTTGTAGTACTTCGGGTCAATTTGACCAAACCGTCAATTCGTTCAAAGATATTATAAAGAAGTCTAAGTTAGTATGTATAAAAGACTCTGAGTTGTTAGATTGGATAAAGAAGTACCAAAGAAGAGTTTTGAAGTACAATGCTATAAATGAGTATATAAATTCGAAGTTTAAAGACCCAAATGAGGAAATGCAGAGAATATTAGAGAAGAAACACTTCAGAAACAAACAGAAAGAGATAGAATACATTTCGAAGAAATTGCAATCGTACGATTGGAAGACTTACCCTCATAGATGTCTTCTTATCTTAGATGACTTTGCTTCTCATCCTTTGTTAAAGAACAGAGAACAAGACATGTGTCGAATTCTTAAGAAGCTCAGACACTTTAACATTTCAGTTGTCATTTGTGTACAGACAGCCAAGAGTTTAAGTAAGGATGTAAAGAGAATACTTACTGATATCATACTTTTCCCTGGATTGTCCGAAGACGATTTCATGGAACTTATGAAAGAGTCCATGGCAGGTAAGTTTGACAGACATGAACTATGGGAGAAGTACAAAGTCATACAAGACCCTCATACTTCTTTCAGAATTCACATCTACGCGAACAAAGTTCAAATTGTAAAAAGTCAAGCGTAAAAATGTAAGTGTTTTAGTCTTAGTCTGTTGTGGTGCTGGGGCTGTCGGTTCTTCTGGCTTTGGAATGGACTCGGTTGGTGGTACGTCGGACATTGTCTTGAAACAATAAAAGACTTGTCTTGAAAAAGTAAAAGACTTGTCTTGAAACAATAAAAGACTTGTCTTGAAAAAGTAAAAGACTTGTCTTGAAAAAGTAAAAGACTTGTCTTGAAAAAGTAAAAGACTTGTCTTGAAAAAGTAAAAGACTTGTCTTGAAAAAGTAAAAGACTTGTCTTGAAAAAGTACGGGTATCGTCTTAAATCAAGACCACTGTTCTCAAATTTGAGAACTTTACACCAAAAATTTCTTGAAAAATAACGGGTCTTGTCTTGAAAAAGTAAAAGACTTGTCTTGAAAAAGTAAAAGACTTGTCTTGAAAAAGTAAAAGACTTGTCTTGAAAAAGTAAAAGACTTGTCTTGAAAAAGTAAAAGACTTGTCTTGAAAAAGTAAAAGACTTGTCTTGAAACAATAAAAGACTTGTCTTGAAACAATGACCGACATAGACCCAGCAGATGAGGCAATTTACCTTATAGAGCTACCTGAGCCATCTGAAGTCAAGCGTAAAAATAAATGGTTCATTTACTCTGCTTGTTTGAAGTTGTCAAAATACTCTGTTATTTTTTCCTTTAACAATGGCAAATCTTCTTTGAAGGTAAGTATTGTACAACCTTTAATATCATAGTGTGTTTGAGGTAAAGTATCTTGAACTATTTGTTTCACATCTTCATTCGGTGTCATTGAAATCGGTAAGTTTTCGCGATAGAACCAATTTCTGTCAGATTTGTAAATCTTAGCTAAGTCGTAAAAGCTTTTGTTGTTTCTTCTGACTAAATGCAACATAACCATATCTTTATCTTCTTCATTTTCCATCTCTTCAGTGTAAATCATATACTTATAGTTCTTTTCCTTTCCTTTTGGTACCGAACGTGGTATTCTTTTCTGTATGTTTTTGTCTTTTGCTTCAAGCTTGTTCTCTAGCTCTTCACGTTCTTGTCTATGAATTTCATCTAACATCATGAAAATATAACAAGCGTAACGAGGTGAAGCCCACATTGCAACAGCATTTACAAGAAGTCTATGTACATACCAACCTCTCAAACCATTTGGCAAATTTTGACGATTTTCGTACGGAATCTCGACCCGCGGTTTTCTACCGGTCGCAAACATATGAGGAAATTCTTCTAAAAGTTCTTTTGTCTGTTGGTTTTCAAACCAATGACGTGCTTGCTTTGTAGAACGAAGAGCATTCAAAATACTTTGCATTTGGTACATGTCATCTTTGACCGAACGAATGAGACGTAACTGTTTGTTAAACTGTATGTACTCGTATTCTTCATCTATGGCTTCATGGACTATAACTGTTGTTGTGTTCTCTGTTGTTGACATATCTGTCTTTACATACAAAATAAAAAAATAAAAAAAAATAAAATTAGCGTTATTTTTTCTATCTTAAGGAAATTCATGATTTTCATAGAGTTTTGGCGACTGGGGTTTCTTACCTACTCGCTGTTCTTCACTGTTTTCATAGAGTTTTGGCGACCCAGATAAAAGTCTGGGTCGCAATTTTTCACGATTTTCATGAGTTTTATGCAAGACCGAAGGAAGTCGGTCTAGAGAAATTTCACTGTTTTCGTACGGAATCTCTTCTCTCGGTTTTTCCGAGGAAAGCAATCTTATGCCATTTTACTCAGATTTTTGTGCTGAATTCAATAAAAATATATTTTAGGGTAGAAGGGTATATCTAACCTGTTTTCTACCCTCTTTTCTACCCCAGTTATTTTATAAGCGTTTTACATGGTAAACGTTATTTTTACATGTATTTTTCAGCAACTTCGTCAAATACTTTTATAGCTTTATCTATCTCATCTACTTCAAACGTTTCTTTACCTCTCGTGGGAGCACCATACATTTTCTCAAACTTTTCAAGTAGTTCTGTTTCAGCAGCTCTCATATCGTTAACGAACACAACCTTAACTCTATTGACTATACTGTCATATCTTTGAGTTATATTATATGTTCTTCCTATCTTATATCTCTTTGTATTGAAGTCCTTCGGTTTCTGAACGATGTAAAGTAAGCCTTCACTGCAACGTTCTGAGTCGAACGAACCATATGTTATGAAGTTATATCCAACAACTGGGTCAATCCAGAACAAAACTACTGGTATAAGACTTTTGTCGATGAGATATGCTCTTGTTCCATAGAATCTTACCGATATCATAAGCTCAGGATTTCTTGTCAAAATTTTCTGAGTAGAAGCATTTTTAACCCAGTCGTGTGCTTTCTTTCCTTCAGATAGTGTTAAAATGTCTGACAAAGAATATTTCTTGTATTTCTTTGAGTATCTTACGTTTAAATCACCTATTCTAACCACTTTGGTCTCATTGTCTATCTTTTTAACTGTTTCAAACTCAGTGTTTGTCATTTCCTGTTCTTACATACAAAATAAAAAAAATATTTTATAAAAAACTAGCGTTAATTTTATTTTTTCTATCTTAAGGAAATTCATGAAATTTGGTCATTTTTCAATAAAAATATATTTTAGGGTAGAAGGTTAGATATACCCTCTTTTCTACCCTCTTTTCTACCCCAGTTATTTTATAACCGTTTTACATGGTAAACATTGTGAATTCGTGAAATTCTAAACAATTTCGTAGCTTCTATTTCTTCTGTCAGTACATCGAATGTTTTAACAATGCCGAAGGTTTCTTTATATTTCTTCTTGACATCTGAAAGAAGGAAATCGTCAGCTGTTGGATAGTTTTTGTTTAGAAATGTCAACATGTCCATTTTATCTTCTGCTGGTTTCTCTGCCTCCCTCTTTAAGTCAGCATAGTCGTTTCGCATACGTTCTATCTCTTTGACGGAGTAGTTATATTTCCTCATTGCTGCTTTACATTTAGAACATTGTGGGTTCATTTTAGCATTGTACATTGAAATCTTACCTGCTAGTATGACTAAGGCGTCAATTGCTCTCTTTAACTCAAAAGTTGCGGGTTTTATCTGTTCATTCCATACCTTACCTCTTCTATCTTTATCTCTTATCTGCCATACACATTTTGCAACTAACGAAACAAAGTTGTCGTAGGTCTTAAACTCCCCAGATTTGTATATGTCAGAGATGTTCTTATATACCATATCGCAATCTTTGTCCATGACTTTGTGGTTGCAATGAAATCCAAGAAACTCATAGTTAACCTTTCGTATGAACTTCTTTATTTCTACTGAGTCAGTTGCTTTGACTTCTATTTCGTCGAATTCTGGAATAGTGAGCTTTTGTTGTTGGATTTCAGGAAGTTTAGGTAGATGGTCAATAATATCCTGCATTTCATAAAGATACTGTTCATTTGTTTCATCTTTCGCAGTGCAATCTAAATCTCCTTGGAGAAGTTCTTGCTTTATCTTCTGGATTGTTGTTTCGAAAGTATATGAAGAAGGAATGAAGCTTTTCATCTCTACTAACATTGAAGTTGGGTTCATGACTAAAGAGTTTGGTGCTGTTGTTGCTAACATGTTCTTACAATAAAAATAAAAAAATATTTTTTTAAAAAAACCAACTTTATTTTTTATTTCGGGAAAACTCATGACAAATTCAAGAGGGTAGAAAAGAGGTTAGAAAAGAGGTTAGATATACCCTTCTACCCTAAAATATATTTTTGGTGTAAATTTCATGAAAATTCAAGAGGGTAGAAAAGAGGTTAGAAAAGAGGTTAGATATACCCTTCTACCCTAAAATATATTTTTGGGTCCGGGAACAACTTTCTCTCAATTGGAGCTGTAGCATACTCTTTGCGTAAGCGGTTCAGACCTTCTTCGAACTCTTGGTCTCTCTTCGATTTGGTTTGGGAATAGACTGGGTTGGTGGTACGTCGGACATTGTTCTGAAGCAGTGCAAGTATTGTTCTGAAACAGTACAAATATTGTCTTGAAACAGTACAAATATTGTCTTGAAACAGTACAAATATTGTCTTGAAACAGTACAAATATTGTCTTGAAACAGTACAAATATTGTCTTGAAACAGTACAAGTATTGTTCTGAAACAGTACAAATATTGCTCTGAAACAGTACAAATATTGTTCTGAAACAGTACAAATATTGTTCTGAAACAGTACAAATATTGTTCTGAAACAGTACAAATATTGTTCTGAAACAGTACAAATATTGTTCTGAAACAGTACAAATATTGTTCTGAAACAGAAAATTTTTCTCACAAATTGAGAGCTTTTTCAGAACTTTGTTCTGAAACAGTACAAGTATTGTTCTGAAACAGTACAAGTATTGCTCTGAAACAGTACAAGTATTGTTCTGAAACAGTACAAGTATTGCTCTGAAACAGTACAAGTATTGCTCTGAAACAGTACAAGTATTGCTCTGAAACAGTACAAGTATTGTTCTGAAGCAGTACAAATATTGTTCTGAAGCAGTACTTTTACTGACAGTAGCAGAGATTTTTATCGTCCAACTTTACAAATGTAAACTCCTATCGTTCTATTTTCTTCACTAGGGTCTAACACCAAAGTAACCTTACAAATGTAAACTTATATCGTTCTATTTTCTTCACTAGGGTCTAACACCAAAGTAACCTATGTACATGAAATTTCACTGCATAAAAGGAAAAAACCTGCGCGAATCGGGATTTGAACCGAGGTCTTCGACGCCTTTAACGAGGTAGCCCATACCACTGAGCTATGAGCCGCTTGCATATTTTTAAGTAAAATATAGTATATTTGTCATACAGTGAAGGATGACCAAACTTAAAAAAAATAAAGTTAGTTTTATTTTTTCTATCTTAAGGAAATTCATGAAAATTCACCTGTTGAATTTTGTATAAAAAGCAACCCGCTGTTTTCCGCGGGTTGGTATATTCTTCACAAAATGCTTGTTTTGAGGTCGAGCCACTTTTGGCTCCACCTCTTTTTTCAACCAAAAACTCATTTTTGTCGAATTCAGCACAAAATTCATGAAAATTCAACGGGTGAGAAAACAGGTGAGAAAACGGGTGAAATCTCACCTCTTCACCTAAACATTATTTTTCAATACTTTTTCAGCACTTTTCCGTAGTTGTATATGAAAGACAATTCGAGATAAAATTTCTTCATCTGAAATATTTCTACCGGCATTTGTAAAGATATAGTCTAACGGTTTTGTATCTGCTACTTTTGTTCTTTGTTTTTCAACCTGAAGCATTTTATATATGTAAAAATATATTGTTTTAAAAACGTTTTAAAATGGTATGCCATATAGCTTCTTGAATTTGTTAAGATATAGTCTAATGTATTTTCCATCTGTATCTCTAGCGTTTACATAAGCACAGCCTTCCTTAGTAAAACATACTTGTAATTTCCTATAGTTTACGCCGGTATAAAGGTAGAAAGAGTCCTGTTCTTCGCTATAGTAGTAAAACTCAAACGTATGCTTACCATAGTCTGTAATTTCAATTGCTTCATCTTCTAGTTCGTCGACAAATTCGAATACAATATCTCTAAATTTGCTTTTGTTCTTATTGTTTTCAGAACAAGTGACCCAACGTAAGTTTTCAAGTCTATTGTCGTTTCTTATACGGTTTATATGGTCTACAAAAGGTAAATTGTTAGGGTTTGGTATAAAATGAGTTGCAATGACAACATGTTTAAGATAGTGTTTTCCACCAATCCTCATCCTAGCATATCCGTCATTTTGCTCCCATTCGCTTAAAACTCTTTTTGTCTTTTTGTTTCTGACTTCAAATGACTCACAACAGTGAATTTCATATTTCTCATCTAACAAACAAGTTTTCCAACGGTCTGTTCCAACAAACTCAGCGTACATTTCAAATAAAATAAAAAAATATTTTTTTTGAAAAATGTTTTTTCCTTTACTTAACATAACCACCAGCTACCAGAAGCCTTTGACGCCAACCCATACCAGCTAATGAAGGTTGACTTGGTTTAGTATTGAAACTAACCTTTGGTTTTGGTTTATCTTCAGTTTTTGGCTTCCCTTCTTCTATTGGTTTTTCGTCACTTTTCGGTTCCTCTGACTTTACCTCACTTGCAGGTATGGTTGTGTCGTCAACATCTTCGTAAATATCATATGCCATCTGTCTTTGTTTTCCTTTCAACTTTTTGTGTTTGTTGTAAAGTTTAGAATATTTCGACTCTAAGTCAATGAGATGTTCTATAATGAACTGTTGGTCAGTGAAGTAAACTTTTCCATCTGTTGTCTCGAAAGCTCCTTCAGACTTCAATATTTTATTTGTGAGAGTCTGTTTCTTTTTTGAGATACTAGCCGTTCCATTTCTATGAAAAGTGACTTTATAGTTAGGGTTTGTATTTCCAGACCTGGCACTTTCTATTATTGAATTTTTCTCTTCATCTGTAAGTTCTTTGACAGGTTTTGACAATGGTTCTGAACTTTTTGTTTGTGGTGTCAAATCTACCGTTTCAACTTCTTCGGTCATTTCATCTCAGTAAAAAATTTTAGTTTGGTTTGTTTTCAACTGGTTGTTGAGGTTTTTTAAGTCGGTCTAAAACTTCCTGAGGTATAGGGAGGACTTGACAAACACGTGGTTGTGTAACTGCTGGAAGTCGACAAATCCATCTTGAACCCATTTGTCTCAATGCTGTATTGTTCATTTCATCTCAGTAAAAAAATTTACATTCCCCACGTTTGAGGCGGTTGAGGTTGGTTATTGTTTACCCACTGTTGTGGCATGGTTATATCCTCTGTTAAAGAATCTTTCACCTTGGTCCATATAGTGCCCTGCTTGGTTATAGTAGTCATTTGCTTTGTTATAGTAGTTTCCTGCTTCTCTTCCTACATTGTCCATCCATCCTTGAACTTTTCCTCTTGTTTCAGGATTTGGAATAAGATTTGTTGCATCTCGTGCTACCTCCCAACCTTTCTGTACAGTTTGTATAATAGGTTGTGCTTTCTCTTTCAGTATACCTAATGTACTCAAAATCTTCCTTCCAATTCCAAACGCACCTCTGGCTATTGTTCCCACTGCGGGTAAAAATCTAGATGCAACTCCTGCTAATGCGCCAAATAAACCCATTTCTTATGGGTTAAAAAATGACGAATCCAAACAAGGACCCCTATGTTTCTAAGGCAACAAAGAAAGCACTCATGATAAAAATCTTTAGTTCAACACCAAATGCTTGGTTTATGGATATCTTGGAAAACATTCCGAGGTATAGAGAAGATGGACCTCCATACTGGCTAATATTTGTCGGTCAAAACACAAGATACTGTGAAGCCATACCATTATGGTCCAAAAATATTTTAGATGTGAAAACTGCTTTGACAATATTCGTTGACAAATACCATCCAACAAAACTGACATCTGACTGTGAAAGTTCTTTCAAATCAGACGATATTAAAAACTATCTGCGTTCAAAAAATGTAAACCAATATTTCATTGTCGACCAAAACCATTCTGCTCTTGGTGTCATTGACAGTTGTATAAAAATCTTAAGAGACTTAAATCAACCACAAGGTGGTGAAGCAAATGAAATGTCATATGACGACAAATATAGACACTTCTCCATGGCAAAGATGAGACAAGTTTTAAATATTTACAATAGCCGTAAACAAAAAGGTTTGGGAAACCATTCCCCTGAAGAAATGAAAAACAACCCTGACTTAGAGAAAGACTATATATTTAATAGTTTAGTCAAAAGAGACAAACAAGAAAGAATGCCAGGCTTCAAACTTAAGAAAGGTGACAAAGTAAAAATAGAAATACCTAAACGCGACCCATATGAAAATACTATTGACTATGACAACAATGGGAACCCGACAGGTACTCACATTCGTGTTCGTAAAAATAGAAGAAAGTATACAAGAGAATATTATGAAGTTTTAGGCAAACATGGCAAAATGTACAGACTGCAAGCAGAAGATAAAACGACTATTGTCAGACCTCGTTTCAAACTTGTTAAGGTTCAAGGTGGTATACTTTCAAAGACAGTTCCTAACAAATATAAGACAACTCCTGACGAATATGCTAAAGAAGTTGAAAATGACGACTAAGCATTTCTATACCATGCGTAAACTGTCATGTATGGTGGCATGTAGTCTTTACTTTGTCCCGTTGTTTGCGTATACCCTGAAACGCGATGTGTATGGTTTCCATCTCCCTGTGTGCTACCCCAGAAACAATTTATAGCAAACTGAACGTCGTCTTTAACATCATATCCTTTACCTTTTTTCATTGCTGACCAATCCCAAAATCTATGCTTATGCCAACCTGCTTCAGATGTACTTAAATTTATGTAGTGACTGTGCGCAGGTAAATTTTCACCTGAAATCGTTTTACTTCCACCTGTTTCCTTTGAAGAGTTTGCACAATACAAAAACCTGTCGACTATTTGAGTCCAAGTTCCAAAACCAAGTACTACTTCTGGTTTGGTAGAGTTCATTGACGTGTAAATAGAACCAACCGGGTATATGGTTTGAAGTATTTCTGTCTTTAATGTTTGAAGCTCTGTTTTGTCAGCTTTTTTATCTAACTCATCGTTAACATATGTTTTGTCAGCTTTCTTATCATATAAATCTTGAGCAGTGAATTTAACATTGTTTTCATCCTCCATGACATAGACATTTCTACATCTAATGTATTTCATCGTCGTTATGTCATCCTCCGATGTTAAACCTTGTGGAAAGTTAGGAGGTTTCCAATTTAATACATCCCCACCAGTTCCATCAGGTTCTTCAACCGTTCCTGCAATATTTTCTATACCAACAGTTGCGAAGAAATCGTGTGTATGTCCAACGTCACTTTTCTTGTTTAAGGTTTCTTGTAAGTTTGTAATATCAGATATGGTATGTGTATGAGTCTTTTTAGAATATTCTTTGTCAGCTCTTGTCACTTCACTTGACATTTTATTGTCAACATATGTTTTATCCGCTTTGTCATCTAACATTGCTGGTAGTTCATCTACGTCATAGATGTTATGTGTATGATGTTTTTGTGGGTATGTTCTATCTGTCCATGCGAGAATATAGTCTCTTGTTGCATCTACATACTCTTTGTCAGCTTTGTTGTCAATATCTGCTTTCAAAAGAAGTTCATCTATAGGTTTCTCGTTTAAAGTTCTTTTTGTTGGATTTATACAAACAGTATGGTTCTTACTGTCTTGAAACAGAAACTCGTCTGTCATTGGGTTTATCGTCAGTTTTAAGTTTCCTTCTTTCAATGACTCAGATATCTTAGAATAGTTTGAAAAGTTTGTTGTGTTCTTATTTAGAGCTTGTACAATGAGTTGTCGGTTGTGTTGTATTTCTCTCATAGACGCTGTTTCTTTCGACATTTTTATTCTAGATAAAATATGCTTCCAATAGAAAAAGAAAATTCAAGAGTTGCTACAACTAAACCATTAGATGAACTTTTTACTAATGTCGGTCAAAAGTTTGAGACAGAGACCGTAAAGCATGAAGGCTATCGTTTTGACTACCCGTTAAGATGGTTAAGAGACCCATCTGTCACAAAAGCTATTGGCTTTCGTAGAATGAAGTTTGTGTCTGTAGAAGATAAAAGTTTTCCATTTATTGTAAGGTTTCATATAGATTATATATCTGAAGGGAAACGAAAAATGTGGGAAGAAATTGAGCTAATACAAGTTGACCTTTCATCTTCTCTACAGACTGCGTTAAAAAATATAGAAGATAAAATAAATTCATGTTATGCAAAATATGCTGATGAATATGCAAATACCGAGAGCACACTTTATGTGAGAATTGTATATGACAAACAAAATTCACAAGTGTCATTTCAAATCTACGAAGACAATCCAAAGAAAGACGAACAAATATATACAGAATTCACTGCAATGTCATGGTATTATTTGCAAAGAATGTTAAATCAGAAAGTCGAACTTCCTTTAGCAAATATTTACAGTCGATATGCAAGAGATGAACCATATTTATTTAAAGATGTTTTCGACCCAGCTGCTATTATTGTTCATGCTTCATTTTCTGGCGCCCAAAACTCTTTCTTATGCTTGGCAAATGACTTTTACGAAAAACCTACAAAGTTATACGAACCACCAAGTGGAAGTATTTCAGACTTTCAAGTATGGTTTACTACAGATGGAAGAAAAAGAATAATTCCATTATACCATGTGTTTTACTTAGAACTTAGTTTCATATACAACTACTATCGAACGGTAAAAATATAATTTTAATACGGTTGAGGTGTTGGATTTGGTTGCCAACTAGACTGTGGTGCAGGTTCAGGCTGTTGTATAACAGGAGCTTGTTCTTCTGGTTCAGGGTCTTTAGGTATAATACCAACAAACTGACCTACTCTTTTACCAATATTTTTGACACCGTTCCAAATTCCTCTTCCGACAGATTTTATTCCATTCCATATACCTCTTCCAACATTTCGAAAGAAGTTTCCTATTCTTCCAAAGAAACCCATTTTACTATATGTAAAAATCTAATGTCCGCCTAGTCTCTTACGTTTCCTGTTGAGTTCCATAGCATTCTTTAACTGGAGCTCATACATTCTGTTTCTCCTCTGGTAGAAAACATATTCTGGGTCAACTCCTGTGTTCGCGTCATCTGCATAGAGTTGTTTATATCCCACTTCAGGGTTTGTATAAAACTCTTTCCATCTCATATTTGCATACCATGGTGGCAAACCTAACGCAGCGTCATTTGACATGGCAGTTTGCATTTGTACATCTGTTGGCACTTGACCATAGTTTGCCATTGCAGTTTGTATTCTAACTTCATTTGGAATATTCTCTGGGTTTGGTTGTCCAGGTTGCTGTGCATTCGCTAAGTTCTGTGCGTCCATTTAATATTAGATAAAAATATCTCTTACGAGTACATATACTGAACATTTGCAGGCATTGGTTCATCTTCATATTCTCTATATCTTTCTGCCACGTCAAATAAGTAAATGACACAATGGAAAAAACCTAAAACAAGTAGTCCTATTTCAAACCACATTTACTTACTAGTAAAATTTCTTTGTTATGACACTTTCTCCAGTTTATAGGACCTCTCTCATATTCTATCTTATCGTATCTAAACTCATAGTCATGTATGTCCTCTAACCATCTCATGACACTTTCCAAACCACTTTTATCGGATGTAAAGTAAAAGCATGGATGGTTATGTAAAACGTCTAAAGTTTCTAAAGAGTCTCTCAAAGTCCAGTCTACTTGGTATTGAAAATCCCATGTGTTATAGAACGGCGGGTCCACTATAAAGAAAACATTTTCCTTGTCTTTATATTTTTCATACAACTCTGTCCAATGACATCTCACAAACTCTATACCCTCAATATATTTTTCTATGTCCTCTTTGAAAACATTTGTATAGTTAAGATATAAAACTTTTGACATAAGTGTTTCAATGTCATGAACTCTTATAGCACCACTATATAATAGTCTAGCAGATATACTATCCCAGTCTATATATTCTGCTTTTTTCAAAACCTCTCTCACAATATTTTTCTTATCTAATGGTATACGTTCCATCTTACCTATAGGTATCTTTTCTTTTAACTCTTTCAATATTTTGTTTGTGTCTGGTATATGTTTGAGACGGTTCATATAGTTGTCGAAGTCATTGCATATAATCTTTGAGTCAGGAAATATTATATGGCACAAATGGGATATATAGAAACTTCCACCGAACAAATCTACAAATGTTAGACCATTCGGTAGTTTCTTAAGTTCTCTCAATATAATATCTTTACATCTACTCTTATTTCCAAAGAACGGTAACGGTGGTTTTGTAAAATTCATTTATATATAATAATAAAAATGTTTTTTCCTGAAAAGTGACAGAAAAGTGACAAAACATGTACGAAGAAGTCTTGAAAATTCAAGAGGGTAGAAAAGAGGTTAGAAAAGAGGTTATATCTAACCTTCTACCCTAAACATTATTTTTGTCTGATTTTACGAAGAAGTCTTGACAAAACATGAAAACATATATAATTTGTGAAAAGCTCCTGGAAGACCCGTATATAAGAACTTCATTTATACTAAACATCTTCGGGGCTAGAGGGCACGAAGTGCCTGGAAGCCCCACTACCTTTTTTTTTTTTTTTTTTTTTTTGTAGGATCTACAATTTTATACCAAAAATGATCCAAGGAAGAAAATTCGAAAAGCTTGGGATTCATATTTCCCGACAAATTTAGCTAAAGAAAAATGTAAGTTTCAAAGTACTAAGCTTGATGCAAGAGAATATAATTATCATGTTTCATCATGTAACTTTGACTCGGTAAATACACAAGGTTCTGTTCATTTTCGAAACAAACAACACTGCTATCAAATTTCTTATTGAAACTACACTTTTTAATAACTGCAGCAACACAGCAAATGGTGGGTGTATTTCATATATTCAAGAAGGCGAATTTATTCAAGATCGAATTTGCAGTTATTCTTCCAGAATTGATAGTGAATATGACTACGGTGTTTATTGCTTCATTCATGTAACACATTTATCCGAATTTAAAAATTTTATTCATGATAGTTTTATTAGCAAGAGTGGATATAAAGATTATTTTACCAATGGATTCGGAAACATTTTTTTGCAAAATGGTAAAATTCAAATTAAATCGATTAACATATCATATGCACGTATAATGCGTGATGATTTTTACATAATTTCATCTGATTCAGCTAAATCTAATACTTCATTTTCTACCTTTTTTAACGCAACAAGCGGTCATAGAAAAAGATTCTATAAAAACAAAGTTCAATTTTTTGAACAATTATTTGATTATCGACTTCTTTTAAACTAGCTAAAATAACATATTCATGATCTGTATTTTTTTCATATAATTATTTATTTAATATTGAAATGCAATATATTCAGACTCTAAAGATTAAGGAGATACCATAGGATCATTAAAAGAATATAACATCGCACAAAGCAGAGGTAAAGGATGAACATATACAGGGGGAGGCATCAACCTTGATAATGATAAATTCTGTAAAGGAGATTAACACAACCTCAGAACTTCAGGAGGTGGTTCATGATGTTTTGGTAGTGGAACATCTGATGATTATGTTTCAGATAGTAGAAGTTGTTACATTTAGTGGACATGAAGTTTGTGTTTCTGTCATCAAAGAATCAAAAAATAGATAATATATCTTTCAAAGCCCAAAGAGATATCTCAGTCCACTTTTCAGGATAGAAATTCGAAAGAACAGTTATTCTTGATTGCCTATTGTTTTAGAGAAAACTTCAATGCGATAAAGTTTATCAAGAAATGCATCAATTTCGAAAACACAATTAAACAATGAAAAATTAAGATTAAACTCATTCTTACTAGTTAAAGTGTGTTTGGTAGATGTTGTTTTGTATTTGTATTTAAAACTTCTACTCTATTATTAGAATTTGTTTGAGTTTCTTTCGCAGATAAGATTATTCTTATGATTAGAATTGTATTGTAATTGAGTGTGAAGTGTAAAATATGAATGAATTCTTAGATTCTTGTAAATCTTGAAAATAAAAAAATGCCAACATAAATTTTTATAAAAAATACCAAAAAAGTGACATAAAATGTTTTGATTGTCAACTTCAAGGGATTATATATCCCTTGATAAAGATAATGTCTTCGCAATTTTAATTATACAATTGTTGTAAACAGAAATTCATCAAAAGTGACACCTCAGAAAAGCTAAAATATTGAATTTTTGGAACTTTTGATAGAGCACGTTTTTAAATATTAATTTAAGTAAATGTATATTTTGTAAAGATTCTTTTTAATAAAAAAATAAAATTTTGAAGAAGAACACAAAATCTTCTGAAAAATAATATCACATAAACTCATATTATTTTCTAATATATAACTATTTTATATAAAAATCAAATTCAATGATCTTAAAAGCGAAGGATAAACCTCAAAATTTACGAATATAATGAGTGGGAATATAATGCTTATCTATCATAAAACCATATGAAATATTCCCACTCATTATATTCGTAAATTTTGAGGTTTATCCTTCGCTTTTAAGATCATTGAATTTGATTTTTATATAAAATAGTTATATATTAGAAAATAATATGAGTTTATGTGATATTATTTTTCAGAAGATTTCATTCTATATGCCTATGAAAAGTACTCTCAAAACTAACTTTTTCCTAATTATAATTAAATCTAGAATATTGTATTATGCTTAGTATTATTTCATTTTTCTCATTCAATTTAGAATTTACAAATGTCAAAAAATTGAGAGTTGTCACTTTTGATGAATTTCTGTTTATTACACAATCTTTACACTTAAATAATATTATGTCCATATTAAATAAAAACAATCCTTTGTGCGCTAAACGAAATTTTAGAAGTAATTCATTCAAATATTTTTATGAAATGTATGAAAATGAAACATTTGTTAAGACAGTTCTTCGATTCAGGTCCAAGTCTTGACACTTGGACACTTTTTTATGAAAATTCAGTTATCACTGAAAAACACACTGAAAATGAAAAATTTAATCCAACAACACAAGGAAATTATTATGTTACAACATGTTTATTCAATGAATTTAAAGAAGTTGTTGTCTATATAGACATCAATGATCAAACAAAACTTCTTATTTCTATTTCTGGATTCAATGGCACAAAAACTCCATCTCGAACAGTTTCTTCTTATAAAGGAAGTTGTGTTATCTATCGAACATGTGCCACAAAATCTATACAATCACAATCAGGATATGAAGGAGTATTTTTATGTTCATATATGTCATCATCAAATACAAACAACAAAAACATTTTTGAAGATTCAACAGTCTTTGATTGCGGAGAAATAGATAAAGGAGATTCAATTAATCATTTAAGATACGGAAATCTTAGTTATTCACGAAATAACATAACAAATAACAAATGTTATGAAGATGTTTTACTTGATATTTATTCAGAACAGAAATACAACAACAGTCAATCATCTTTCATTGATAACAAAGCAAACTCTAGATGCTTTTTTATTTTTAATACTGGTCCACATCAATTTTATTTATGTAATATCATTAGAAACAATGCTAGTCAATATTGTTTTAATTTATATCAAGCAACAGTTACATTTGAATCTTGTTCAATCAAAAATAATAATTGTACACAAACATTTTATTTTTGGTCATCAAGTTCAGCTACAATCATTAATAGTGATTATGATGGACAAACATCAAGTGCAACAATAACATACTCAATAAACAATTTATACAACAAATTATCACATCTTTCTACAGGACTTTGCGAAGCAAAAAATAAAATTGAAAATAATTTTGAAGAAGAAAATGAGATAAAAAAATTCAACCAAATGAAAAATTTTTGCATCTCCCAATATTTAATCAACTACCAGTGTCAACATCTTCTTAGCATTTCTCATATTCCTTCATATTCAATTTTATCGCTGATTAACTAAATAAACTAATTTTCAAATTTTTAATAATAAATTAATATTTCCAATTTCTGTTTTCAATCGATCAGTTGGATATACAAATCCAGATCTCCCACTTGGTTGATTAGTTTCACCACCATATAGATATCATCCACCACTTTTAGAAGGAAAACTTGACTATAATATTCCTTTATCAAAGTTTTTTCCTGTATCAGTCTCAGTTTATAACCGCAAAGATTATTTTTGCCTGTAGATCCGATAAATAGAAAGATATCAACATTTCTTGAAATTGTAATAGTTGATTCTGCATATACACTATATCCATCAGAGTACTAATAGACTTGTCATTGAGAATCATATGCTTCAAATATATATTTTCCAGGATCTAAATTTATTTTGATATATGTGGGATAATAAGTGCTATTACGTGGATAAAAAGAATTTGCATGATATTGTGGGCATATAGGAGAATAATTTTGATAAACTTTACTTGTATCTTGGATAGAACATTTTCCATATCGAAAATTATTTGCTCCAGTCATGAATTACTCAGTACAATTTGAAAAGTTTTATAATGTATTAATAAGATCTAAAACAATTTCATAATGGCGTGATTTAAGATTAATATTTTCAATTAGGATTTATTAGAATGACAATAGTAAATTTTGATAAAACAAATGTATTTACAAAGGGATATTAACTAGACAAAGATGCCAATTGAATAGTAAATCATTTTTTAATTTGTCATGAACGAATATGACAACTTTAATATATGATAAAGTCATATCTTCTTAATTCAAGTGTAAAAGATGCAAAACTTAACGTTAAACATGAAAATAATAGTTACATTTTTGAATATCCATGTGTTAACTATTATGAATGCACATATTATGTTCTTGAAATGCAGCCTGGAATCTATAAGTTTGAACTTTATGGTGCATCAGGTGGCAGCGGCAGTGGGCATGTTCCATCATATCGATTTCCCAATGGAAGCTGTATTTCACAAGACAGAGTTAAACGTGTGAATGGAAATACTGTCTGCAAACAATTACCAAGTACTGGAGGTGCAGGTGCATATATTTCTGGCTACTCAGTTCTTTTTCATCCAATGAAAGCTTTTGCTACAATTTGAGGAATGGGATATTTTGATCAAAGAAATTCTAATTGTTATAAATCTTTTAGTTTATCTTGCATGAATCGAGGTGGTTATGGTGGTGGTGGAAGTTCTCCTGGTTACGCATCAGGATCAGGAGGTGGCCAAACCGCTGTCAAATTTGAGAAAAACGACCTTTTTCATCGTGTAATTGTTAGCGGTGGTGGAGGCGGTTCTGACAACGGTGGTGGCACACTTCAACAGTCTGATGACGGCTCCGGAGGTGCAGGAGGTCTCGAAGCGCAAAGATTTAATATAGACTGTATGTATATTGAAAATTTATCCGCAAATTCTACTTTTGGATTCAGTTTTGGGCAAGGAGAATCTTCTCGCACAGATGGTTCGAAGAATCCATATGGAATCAAAACACCACATGGATTCACAGACAGAGGAAGTGCAGGTGGTGGGTGGTATGGTGGTTTTTGCAGTCATCACAATAATGGTGGTGCTGGTGGAGTTTCTTCTTGGGTTCTGTCAGACAATGCAATTCTTCCGAAAGGAGAATTGACTTTTTATGACGAAAACTATGAAGAAATTGGTCAAGATCGTTATGCATATGATACTTCTGTATCGTTCAAGTTTTTCGATGTTCAGCATGAGTCAGGTGTATGGGAAGGACACGGAAAACTAATTATAACATACTATCCTCTAACTAGTCATTGTTTACATTATATCCATTTTAATTGTAATGCTATTATGTATGCTTGTAGTCTTTCTTAAAGATCTTTTTAATAAAACATTCCACAGTTATTTTTCATATAAAATGATAATCAATAATTGAGGATACTAGCTTTCTATGCAATTTTAAATGCAAAGCAACAATACTCACAATGCTTATCTAAATTTCAATTGAGATTTATAAAAGTGACATAAATATTGTTATTGAGATTGCATCCTTTTAGATAACCATTAATTTCTCTTTACTTTCTTATCGAAAAAAATCATACAAATGCCCAATTTCGGAGGAATTGTAAAATATTCGTAAAAAATTGAATTTAATAAAATTAATTACTTTATTGAAGTCTACTTCGTCAATGTAAAAACAAAAGTTATTTGTATGATAATGTTATTTTGATAAAAACAAAGATTCTCACATGAAATAAAATCTGCAATACAAGTGATGATGCAAAAACCACTTCCTTTATGACCAAATCTACTCATAGCTCCATCTGGTTCTGTAAATTGTTGGCTTCCATTAAGCATTATTGTATTTTCAAATCTCCAATCATATGAAATGCTTTCACAACCTTTGAAACCAGAAATATATGAGCTTCCTCCGCCCCCTGAGCTATCCTCATCCCAATGATATCCAGATCCACCGTCATACCATCCAGCGCCCCCTGCACCAGCCATATCTGTTGATGTTCCAGGTGAACAATTTGCTCCAATGCCAAATTCTCCATTGAATTGTCCTTTTCCTCCTGAAGTTTGATTTGCGCCTTCTCCGATAATGGAATCTGATTCATCAAAACGTGTTCCATTATGTCCAACTAATCCACCTGCATATCCCATTTTATCATAATATATAGCACCTCCTGGAGCACCGCTGACAATTACTCTTGATCTCAAAATTGAGATATTCAATCGAATGTCTGTAGATCCATCGCTGCCAATACCTCTTTTGCCATTATTATATATCCCAATAATAGTACTATTGCCTCCCCCGTTATTACCACCATAGCCATATAATTCATTTGAATGTTGAGCAACACCTCCAACAAAAATATAAAATTCTTCTGTTTTGAATGTATATCGATCTCCTCTCACATATGCACCACCACCAATTCGTCCTGCTCCCCAAAGTTCATATCGATATAAACCTTTTTCAATTCTTACTTTATAAGGTGGACAATATATTTGAGATTCACATTGATATGAGAAATAATACTTTTTTCCATATCTATGTGTTATTGAAACATCATAATTCAATAAGGAAAACTTATTTTAATCCTCATTAATTTTTTTACTTGTATCTTACAAAGATATTTTAATTGATATTATGTAGGATCTACAATTTTATACCAAAAATGATCCAAGGAAGAAAATTCGAAAAGCTTGGGATTCATATTTCCCGACAAATTTAGCTAAAGAAAAATGTAAGTTTCAAAGTACTAAGCTTGATGCAAGAGAATATAATTATCATGTTTCATCATGTAACTTTGACTCGGTAAATACACAAGGTTCTGTTCATTTTCGAAACAAACAACACTGCTATCAAATTTCTTATTGAAACTACACTTTTTAATAACTGCAGCAACACAGCAAATGGTGGGTGTATTTCATATATTCAAGAAGGCGAATTTATTCAAGATCGAATTTGCAGTTATTCTTCCAGAATTGATAGTGAATATGACTACGGTGTTTATTGCTTCATTCATGTAACACATTTATCCGAATTTAAAAATTTTATTCATGATAGTTTTATTAGCAAGAGTGGATATAAAGATTATTTTACCAATGGATTCGGAAACATTTTTTTGCAAAATGGTAAAATTCAAATTAAATCAATTAACATATCATATGCACGTATAATGCGTGATGATTTTTACATAATTTCATCTGATTCAGCTAAATCTAATACTTCATTTTCTACCTTTTTTAACGCAACAAGCGGTCATAGAAAAAGATTCTATAAAAACAAAGTTCAATTTTTTGAACAATTATTTGATTATCGACTTCTTTTAAACTAGCTAAAATAACATATTCATGATCTGTATTTTTTTCATATAATTATTTATTTAATATTGAAATGCAATATATTCAGACTCTAAAGATTAAGGAGATACCGTAGGATCATTAAAAGAATATAACATCGCACAAAGCAGAGGTAAAGGATGAACATATACAGGGGGAGGCATCAACCTTGATAATGATAAATTCTGTAAAGGAGATTAACACAACCTCAGAACTTCAGGAGGTGGTTCATGATGTTTTGGTAGTGGAACATCTGATGATTATGTTTCAGATAGTAGAAGTTGTTACATTTAGTGGACATGAAGTTTGTGTTTCTGTCATCAAAGAATCAAAAAATAGATAATATATCTTTCAAAGCCCAAAGAGATATCTCAGTCCACTTTTCAGGATAGAAATTCGAAAGAACAGTTATTCTTGATTGCCTTTTGTTTTAGAGAAAACTTCAATTCGATAAAGTTTATCAAGAAATGCATCAATTTCGAAAACACAATTAAACAATGAAAAATTAAGATTAAACTCATTCTTACTAGTTAAAGTGTGTTTGGTAGATGTTGTTTTGTATTTGTATTTAAAACTTCTACTCTATTATTAGAATTTGTTTGAGTTTCTTTCGCAGATAAGATTATTCTTATGATTAGAATTGTATTGTAATTGAGTGTGAAGTGTAAAATATGAATGAATTCTTAGATTCTTGTAAATCTTGAAAATAAAAAAAATGCCAACATAAAATTTTCCAAAAAAATACCAAAAAAGTGACATAAAATGTTTTGATTGTCAACTTCAAGGGATTATATATCCCTTGATAAAGATAATGTCTTCGCAATTTTAATTATACGATCTTTACACTTAAATAATATATTATGTTCATATTAAATGAAAACTATTCTTTGTGTACTAAACGAAATTTTAGAAGTAATTCATTCAAATATTTTTATAAATTATATGAAAATGAGACACTTATTGATACTATTCTTGGATTCCGGTCCAAGTATTGATACTTGGACACATTTTTATGAAAATTCAGTTATCACTGAAACTCACACTAAAAATACAAAATTAAATCCAACAAAAGTAGGAAATTATTATGTTACAACATGTTTTTTCAATGGATTTGAAGAAGTTGTTGTCAATATAGACAAAGGAGATCAAACAAAACTTCTTATTTCTATTTCTGGATTCAATGGCACAAAAACTCTATCTCAAACAGTTTATTCTAATTTAGGAAGTTGTGTTATCTATCGAACATGTGCCACAAAATCTATACAAACACAATCAGGATCTGATATTGATGGAGTATTTTTATTTTCATTTATATCAAATCCAAACAACAAAAACATTTTTGAAGATTCAACAGTCTTTGATTGTGGAGAAATAGATAAAGGAAGTTCAATTAATGATTTAGTATACGGAAATCTTAGTTATTCACGAAATAACATAACAAATAACAAATGTTATTCTGGTGTTTCACTAAATATTTATTCAAAACAGAGATACAACATCAGTCAATCATCTTTCATTGATAACAAAGCAAACTATGAATGCTTTTATATCTATTGGAGTGGTTCACATCAATTTTATTTATGTAATATCATTAGAAACAATGCTAGTAGATGTTTTAATTTAAATCAAGCAACAGTTACATTTGAATTTTGTTCAATCAAATATAATAATTGTCCACAAACATTTAATTTATCTGGTTCATGTTCAGCTACAATCATTAATAGTGATTATGATGGACAAACATCAAGTGTAACAACAAAAAATCCAACAAACAATTCATACAACAAATTATCACATCTTTCTACAAGACTTTGTGAAGCAGAAAATAAAATTGAAAATAATTTTGAAGAAGAAAATGACATCTCCCAATATTTAATCCCCTACCAACATAATCATCTTCTTAATATTTCACAAATTTCATCATATTCAATTTTATCGCTGATTAAATAAAAAAAATTTCCAAATTTTAATAATATCCCATTTTTAAGGCTCAGCTGACTATTTACCTGCTCGAGTTCTGAAACAAAGACAAATGAAAACAGACAAAACTATTGATGAAAAGGATTAATATCGCGTTTCTAACAAGGATGGTGACTATTTATTTACCAGCATTTGCTCGTGTTCTGAAAAAAAGGCAAATGAAAACTAATCATAACATTGAAGAGAAGGATTACAGCTCTGGTTGCACACAGTCAATTTTTAATATTGAATATATCTGTCAATTAGAGTTTTCATGACTTATTATTAAAGTTATTATATTAGTGTAATTTGAGCTGTAATATTATGTTATGATGCATGAGAAAGTATTGCAAGAAGAATTGATTAATAAGCTAGGGGAAAAAATCGTTTGCAAGCATTCAAATTTTCAGAACTTATGAGAGAAGCATATGAACGAATGCATTTTTCAAATCATTCACTTTTTGTTCTTGATGAACAAAACAATTTGTTCTCAGTTTATAATTTTTGTGAAGATATCGAACTTCGAAAATATTTATCTGAACTTTCATTAAAATTCAAAGAAGGGTTGATCAAAGAAGAAGACTTTGTTCGTGAGACATATTTATCATTTCGACTTGCATATCATATCATAGTTGTCGAATCTACTAAATATCTTTCAATCATCTCATGCAAAGCTCATGTGAACATTATGAGGTCAGTTGAAGTTCTTTTCCATGCAGTTATGTCAGTTTTGATCACACACAACCACAGTAAGTTAATTCATGTTAAATCAACAATCGAATATGAAGATATTATGTATGTTCAAAATCATTCATCAAATTCAGCAACAATTGAACGAAATTCACAAGGAAACATCAAGATTTATGGCAATTTGTTTGGAAAACGATGCAGTAATGAAGTTGAGAAAGATTTATTTGAATCAATTGATAAATATCAAATCAACAAAAACATAAATGAAATCTCAGAATTCATTCTTCCATTTTGGATTTCAAATCATGAATGTTACTTTTTACTTATAATTGGTCGATAGGGACCATACACTTTTTTCCGATTGTCAGATTTTCAGATACACTTTTTTCCGGTCCAAAATTGGGTGTATCAGAGATCTCCATATACAAACATGCTGGAGACAAGTGAGTTATATAATATTGATCAGCATATTTTTTTATATTATATGAGAGACTTAGAGCAGATTGACACAAGATATGAAATTATGCTACCCTAATTAAAGTTAATATAGATTCACAAATAATAAAATATTCATATATGTTTAAAATAAGATTGTTTGATGATATAGTCATATGTTTACTCATTGTATATAAAGAATAAGATATAAGAATCTAATGAAAATATGAGATATTTCATACGCAATATGTTTATAAGGTTTTATTGAACGAGTATATGAGATATTGATATGTGTGTGCAAGCTTAATTGCTAATTTATTAAAAGGGATAATTTGGAGATTGTGAAATTATGTGATATCGAATGGATAATATAAGTATTAGATCTAAATATGTCTGGATATGATAGATTATATGTGTTTATTGAATATATTTAAATATTAGGAGTTAATTAAAACAAAATAATGATAGAAATGTGTACAAACGTGTTAGATAATGGTTTATGTTTTTGCGAATATAGTTAAATTTGATATATATGTTAGAATGGGAATTATAATAAAATTATTAAGGATAATAGATAAAATCGTGAATAAATATATAAATTGAAAGATATTTATATGTGGTAGATTGTATATAGGAAGGTAGATTGTATAATGTTGTCAGAACTCCCGAGCTCTCGACTTTGTGGAGCTGCTCCAAATGATTGCGGGAGAAGTAGCCAGTTCTGAGAAAGGCTGCTTCTCCCGCAATCTTTGGTCAAGGGCCCGGGTGCTGGTGTTTCCAGAACTCCCGAGCTCTCGACTTTGTGGAGCTGCTCCAAATGATTGGGAGAAGTAGCCAGTTCTGAGAAAGGCTGCTTCTCCCGCAATCTTTGGTCAAGGGCCCGGGTGCTGGTGTTTCCAGAACTCCCGAGCTCTCGACTTTGTGGAGCTGCTCCAAATGATTGCGGGAGAAGTAGCCAGTTCTGAGAAAGGCTGCTTCTCCCGCAATCTTTGGTCAAGGGCCCGGGTGCTGGTGTTTCCAGAACTCCCGAGCTCTCGACTTTGTGGAGCTGCTCCAAATTTTTCAAGACTATGCATCTCGTTACCACACTTCTATTTGCTTATTATATATATAGACACACATGCACATATCTACATCCTCATTTTCAATATTACATCTATCTATTTCCATATTTATTCCTTGAATTTCTTCATTTATTATAAAATTCATTATACATTCATTTCAAACCCATAAAACAACTATAGATTCACGATTTCATTTCCCTTAATTTTCAAATTCTCTGTTAAATTTTAGAAATTTAATATCAATTTTATATTTTTCCTTATATAATTTCCTATTTCAAAATTTTCTTTGGAAATTTTGTCCTAAAATTTTCTTTATTTTCTATTTTATTCAAAATCCAATCATTTTATTTAAATTTCATTCAAATTATATTTTTAGTACGTTAAAAACTTACGTTAAAATTAATTCGCTCGGCGAATGCCGAGCACACATACTCTGTTGTAAACAGAAATTCATCAAAAGTGACACCTCAGAAAAGCTAAAATATTGAATTTTTGGAACTTTTGATAGAGCACGTTTTTAAATATTAATTAAAGTAAATGTATATTTTGTAAAGATTTTTTTAATAAAAAAATAAAATTTTGAAGAAGAACACAAAATCTTCTGAAAAATAATATCACATAAACTCATATTATTTTCTAATATATAACTATTTTATATAAAAATCAAATTCAATGATCTTAAAAGCGAAGGATAAACCTCAAAATTTACGAATATAATGAGTGGGAATATAATGCTTATCTATCATAAAACCATATGAAATATCAATTTTTGCTTTACGCCTAATTTTTGACGACAATTAGCAAAAAATGTTAAATGTTAACACTCAGTCCATTTGAATATGAAAAATAAAATTGACTTTGATTAAATGTTTTTATTTATCATGCAATTCTTCTTGCGACCAAAGATTTGAATAAAAGTTCAAAAAATAAGATAGCTTAAAAAATAATATACGGTAGTGTTTACTAATAGATGAATAGTATATAAATTCTATTAAAATGGATTTGATCCAAAAAAATATAAAACCAAAAATAATTGTTATAATTTAAATGAAGAAGTAATTTAAAACGATTTTATTTATGATCAAATATACTGTTATAGTGTTTGCACCCTTTTAGATAACCATTAATTTCTCTTTACTTTCTTTTCAAAAAATCATACAAATGCCCAATTTCGGAGGAATTGTAAAATATTCGTAAAAAATTGAATTTAATAAAATTAATTACTTTATTGAAGTCTACTTCATCAATGTAAAAACAAAAGTTATTTGTATGATAATGTTATTTTGATAAAAACAAAGATTCTCACATGAAATAAAATCTGCAATACAAGTGATGATGCAAAAACCACTTCCTTTATGACCAAATCTACTCATAGCTCCATCTGGTTCTGTAAATTGTTGGCTTCCATTAAGCATTATTGTATTTTCAAATCTCCAATCATATGAAATGCTTTCACAACCTTTGAAACCAGAAATATATGAGCTTCCTCCGCCCCCTGAGCTATCCTCATCCCAGTGGTATCCAGATCCACCTCCATACCATCCAGCGCCCCCTGCACCAGCCATATCTGTTGATGTTCCAGGTGAACAATTTGCTCCAATACCAAACTCTCCATTGAATTGTCCTTTTCCTCCTGAAGTTTGATTTGCGCCTTCTCCGATAATGGAATCTGATTCATCAAAACGTGTTCCATTATGTCCAACTAATCCACCTGCATATCCCATTTTATCATAATATTCAGCACCTCCTGGAGCACCGCTGACAATTACTCTTGATCTCAAAATTGAGATATTCAATCGAATGTCTGTAGATCCATCGCTGCCAATACCTCTTTTGCCATTATTATATATCCCAATAATAGTACTATTGCCTCCCCCGTTATTACCACCATAGCCATATAATTCATTTGAATGTTGAGCAACACCTCCAACAAAAATATAAAATTCTTCTGTTTTGAATGTATATCGATCTCCTCTCACATATGCACTGCCACCAATTCGTCCTGCGCCCCAAAGTTCATATCGATATAAACCTTTTTCAATTCTTACTTTATAAGGTGGACAATATATTTGAGATTCACATTGATATGGGAAATAATACTTTTTTCCATATCTATGTGTTATTGAAACATCATAATTCAATAAGGAAAACTTATTTTAATCCTCATTAATTTTTTTACTTGTATCTTACAAAGATATTTTAATTGATATTATGTAGGATCTGCAATTTTATACCAAAAATGATCCAAGGAAGAAAATTCGAAAAGCTTGGGATTCATATTTCCCGACAAATTTACCTAAAGAAAAATGTAAGTTTCAAAGTACTAAGCTTGATGCAAGAGAATATAATTATCATGTTTCATCATGTAACTTTGACTCGGTAAATACACAAGGTTCTGTTCATTTTCGAAACAAACAACACTGCTATCAAATTTCTTATTGAAACTACACTTTTTAATAACTGCAGCAACACAGCAAATGGTGGGTGTATTTCATATAGCCAAGAAGGCGAATTTATTCAAGATCGAATTTGCAGTTATTCTTCCAGAATTGATAGTGAATATGACTACGGTGTTTATTGCTTCATTCATGTAACACATTTATCCGAATTTAAAAATTTTATTCATGATAGTTTTATTAGCAAGAGTGGATATAAAGATTATTTTACCAATGGATTCGGAAACATTTTTTTGCAAAATGGTAAAATTCAAATTAAATCAATTAACATATCATATGCACGTATAATGCGTGATGATTTTTACATAATTTCATCTGATTCAGCTAAATCTAATACTTCATTTTCTACCTTTTTTAACGCAACAAGCGGTCATAGAAAAAGATTCTATAAAAACAAAGTTCAATTTTTTGAACAATTATTTGATTATCGACTTCTTTTAAACTAGCTAAAATAACATATTCATGATCTGTATTTTTTTCATATAATTATTTATTTAATATTGAAATGCAATATATTCAGACTCTAAAGATTAAAGAGATACCGTAGGATCATTAAAAGAATATAACATCGCACAAAGCAGAGGTAAAGGATGAACATATACAGGGGGAGGCATCAACCTTGATAATGATAAATTCTGTAAAGGAGATTAACACAACCTCAGAACTTCAGGAGGTGGTTCATGATGTTTTGGTAGTGGAACATCTGATGATTATGTTTCAGATAGTAGAAGTTGTTACATTTAGTGGACATGAAGTTTGTGTTTCTGTCATCAAAGAATCAAAAATAGATAATATATCTTTCAAAGCCCAAAGAGATATCTCAGTCCACTTTTCAGGATAGAAATTCGAAAGAACAGTTATCCTTGATTGCCTATTGTTTTAGAGAAAACTTCAATTCGATAAAGTTTATCAAGAAATTTAACAATGTTGAAAATAAATATTAAAGAATGAAAAATTAAGATTAAATTCATTCATGCTAGTTAAAGTGTGTTTGGTAGATGTTGTTTTGTATTTGCTTTTAAAACTTCTACTTTATTATTAGAATTTGTTTGAGTTTCTTTCGCAGATAAGATTATTCTTATGATTAGAATTGTATTCTAATTGGGTGTGAAGTGTAAAATATGAATGAATTCTTAGATTCTTGTAAATTTTGAAAATAAAAAAATGCCAACATAAATTTTTATAAAAAAATACCAAAAAAGTGACATAAAATGTTTTGATTGTCAACTTCAAGGGATTATATATCCCTTGATAAAGATAATGTCTTCGCAATTTTAATTATACGATCTTTACACTTAAATAATATATTATGTTCATATTAAATGAAAACTATTCTTTGTGTACTAAACGAAATTTTAGAAGTAATTCATTCAAATATTTTTATAAATTATATGAAAATGAGACACTTATTGATACTATTCTTGGATTCCGGTCCAAGTATTGATACTTGGACACATTTTTATGAAAATTCAGTTATCACTGAAACTCACACTAAAAATACAAAATTAAATCCAACAACAACAGGAAATTATTATGTTACAACATGTTTTTTCAATGGATTTGAAGAAGTTGTTGTCAATATAGACATCAATGATCAAACAAAACTTCTTATTTCTATTTCTGGATTCAATGGCACAAAAGCAACTCACACAGTTTCTTCTAATTGGGGAAGTTGTGTTATCTATCGAACATGTGCCACAAGATCTATACTAAACACTGAATATTATGAAGGAGTATTTTTATGTTCATATATGTCATCATCAAATACAAACAACAAAAACATTTTTGAAGATTCAACAGTCTTTGATTGTGGAGAAATAGATAAAGGAGATTCAATTAATTATTTATATTACGGAAATCTTAGTTATTCACGAAATAACATAACAAATAACAAATGTAATAATGATGTTTCACTTCAAATTTGTTCAAATCAGAAATACAACATCAGTCAATCATCTTTCATTGATAACAAAGCAAACTATGGATGCTTTCATATTTATTATAGTGGTCCACATCAATTTTATTTATGTAATATCATTAGAAACAATGCTAGTAAATGGTTTTCTTTATGGACAGCAACAGTTACATTTGAATCTTGTTCAATCAAAAATAATAATTGTACACAAACATTTTATTTTTATTCTTCACCAAGTTCAGCTACAATCATTAATAGTGATTATGATGGTCAAACATCAAGTGTAACAATAACAAATTCAACAAACAATTTATACAACACATTATCACATCTTTCTACAGGACTTTGTGAAGCAGAAAATAAAATTCAAAATAATTTTGAAGAAGAAAATGAGATAAAAAAATTCAACCAAATGAAAAATTTTTGCATCTCCCAATATTTAATCAACTACCAGTGTCAACATCTTCTTAGCATTTCTCATATTCCATCATATTCAATTTTATCGTTGATTAACTAAATAAACTATTTTACAAATTTTTAATAATAAATTAATATTTTCAGTTTCTGTTTTCAATCGATCAGTTGAATATACAAATTCAGAGGCCCAACATGGTGGATTAGTTCCACCACCATATAAACATCATACACCACTTTCAGAAGGAAAACTTGACTATGATGTTCCTTTATCAAAGTTTCTTTATGGATCAGTCTCAGTTTATAACCGCAAAGATTATTTTTGCCTGTAGATCCGATAAATAGAAATATATCAACATTTCTTGAAATTGTAATAGTTGTTACTGCATATACATCATATCCATCAGAGTACTAATAGATTTGTCATTGAGAATCATATGCTTCAAATATATATTTTCCATGATATAAATTTTGTTTGATATATGTGGAATAATAAGTGCTATTACGTGGATAAAAAGAATTTGCATGATATTGTGGGTATATAGGAGAATAATTTTGATAAACTTTGTTTGAATCTTGAATGGAACATTTACCATATCGAAAATTATTTGCTCCAGTCATGAATTACTCAGTACAATTTGAAAAGTTTTATAATGTATTAATAAGATCTAAAACAATTTCATAATGGCGTGATTTAAGATTAATATTTTCAATTAGGATTTATTAGAATGACAATAGTAAATTTTGATAAAACAAATGTATTTACAAAGGGATATTAACTAGAAAAAGATGCATATTGAATGGTAAATCATTTTTTAATTTGTCATGAACGAATATGACAATTTTAATATATGATAAAGTCATATCTTCTTAATTCAAGTGTAAAAGATGCAAAACTTAACGTTAAACATGAAAATAATAGTTACATTTTTGAATATCCATGTGTCAACTATTATGAATGCACAGATTACGTTCTTGAAATGCAGCCTGGAATCTATAAGTTTGAACTTTATGGTGCATCAGGTGGCAGCGGCAGTGGGCATGTTCCATCATATCGATTTACCAATGGAAGCTGTATTTCACAAGACAGAGTTAAGCGTGTGAATGGAAATACTGTCTGCAAACAATTACCCAGTACTGGAGGTGCAGGTGCATATATTTCTGGTTACTCAGTACTTTTTCATCCAATGAAAGCTTTTGCTACAATTGGAGGAATGGGATATTTTGATCAAAGAAATTCTAATTATTATAAATCTTTTAGTTTATCTTGCATGAATCGAGGTGGTTATGGTGGTGGTGGAAGTTCTCCTGGTTACGCATCAGGATCAGGAGTTGGCCAAACCGCTGTCAAATTTGAGAAAAACGACCTTTTTCATCGTGTAATTGTTAGCGGTGGTGGAGGTGGTTTTGACAACGGTGATGGCACATTTCAACAGTCAGATGATGGCTCTGGAGGCGCAGGAGGTCTCGAAGCACAAGGATTTTATATATACGGTATGTATATTGAAAATTTATCCGCAAATTCTACTTTTGGATTCAGTTTTGGGCAAGGCGAATCATCTCGCACAGATGGTTCGAAGAATCCATATGGAATCAAAACACCACATGGATTCACAGACAGAGGAAGTGCAGGTGGTGGGTGGTATGGTGGTTTTTGCAGTCATCACAATAATGGCGGTGCTGGTGGAGGTTCTTCTTTGGTTCTGTCAGACAATGCAATTATTCCGAAAGGAGAATTGACTTTTTATGACGAAAACTATGAAGAAATTGGTAAAGATCGCTATGCATATGATACTTCAGCATCATTCAAGTTTTTCGATGTTCAGCATGAGTCAAGTGTATGGGAAGGACACGGAAAACTAATTATAACATACTATCCTCTAACTAGTCATTGTTTAGATTATATCCATTTTAATTGTAATGCTATTATGTATGCTTGTAGTCTTTCTTAATGATCTTTTTAATAAAACATTCCATGGTTGTTTTTCATATAAAATGATAATTAATAATTGAGGATACTAGCTTTCTATGCAATTTTAAATGCAAAGCAACAATACTCACAATGCTTATCTAAATTTCAATTGAAATTTATAAAAGTGACATAAGAAATTGATTCTCCTGATGAACAGTAACATTTAATTTGATTTTGATTGATTGTCGTTTGAGTATGACAATCAAAATTGACAAAAAATGTCAATGTATTTGATTTGCTTGTTTCAAAGTTATCACTTTGAGTTATTGCTTTGTTGGTAGTTAATCTGTCATAATTAGGGTTCGTAATTGTTACTTCTGGATCTGCGTAATTAAAAAGAAAGACTCTTGTCACATAAACTTGAATGATATTATTACCTTCGATATTTGAATAGTTGACTAATCCATCGTTAACATCATTTGAGCTAAAGGAATAATACGACTCAGCAAAATTTTTACTATAATTCATAGATGATATTGTTCCTTGCCCATCATCAATATAATTTATACTCTGATATCCATTATTTTGGGAGAGTGATCCTTCTATGTTATAATTAAAATTTATTGATGAATAATTGTTCAAATTTACATATGAAAAAATACCTTCTCCTGTTGAAATACAAGATGATGCACAGTATCGATGCTGAACAAAAGAAGAATCTCCTTTCATATAAATAGTACCTCCAATTGTGCCTTTACATCTGGTGAATGTACATTCAGAATGCAGGATTTTCAGATTTTTTGCAATTATAAAGATAGAAGACCATTGATTATAAAAAACACACTTAAATACGAAATGCTTATTACTATATAAATCAATGTTTGGGTTGGTTTGTTTAACAATATTGTTTTTATCAGATGATTCATAAAACAAGCTCCAAACTGTATCAGGAGCATTATCTTTATGATACATGTGTTCTATTATAATCATTGTAAATTAAGAAATTGGTTGAAATGGGTTCTAGACTATACTATAAAAAATATTTTGTCAACCGATCTCGTTCAAAAAGAACTCATAAAATATACAACTCTTCATTTTAATGCCCTGAATAATGTCCTCATGCAAGATAACATAATGGTAGTATTCATTTTTTCCTGCATTGTTAAAATCCTTTACTTCTTATTATTGGTAAAAAAGGGGGTTGGCGTCCTAAGGCGTCCTAGTGTAAATTTCTCAAAATTGTGATATTTACATCACATTTTTGAGAGGTTTATGGGCGTCCTAAGGGAAAATTGAATAGCTAGGGCGTCCCGAATTTTCATTCTAAGATTTAAATATATTATATACTTAAGTATAATACAAGCAATATAAAAATTAAATTTTTATTATGTTAACTTATAAGAAATTTTTTTGAATTATCGTTGATTTATTGTAATCTTTCCAGGCTATATTTTTGAAATCAACTTTACCTGTCATACGCATTAATGTAGTAGATGTCCAGGTGTAGCTATTATATCCCAGCAACATTGGTATTTTATCATTGTAAGATATCAAAATGAAGTGTTTTTTTAGATATAATTTTCGTAAATTTTTCAAAAATAAGATGGTAAAAAAGCCTCGACTTGCTCGAAAAATAACAATTTTTTTACTTGTAAAAATAACCCTTTTACAGCATGGGCAGCTATTCAATCACTATTTTTTTTCTAAAAGTATATTTTTCAAAAAAAATTAAGATCAAATTCGACAATTTCTTGATGAAAGCAAAATATTACACATACTTCTACATGCATGGGATAAAATATGCAATTATTCAATCAATTCGCATGATTTGAAAAAAAAATCTAAATTTGATAAAAATGTAGAAATTTTTTATTTTTAACTTGAGATTCGATTTTTTGATCCAATTTGTGAATTTTTTTTTGATCGGAATTTCAATTAATTTGTTGATCAAAAATGACCTCACAATGTTTGATCATAAGTGAAGTCATCTTCATGGGTATTTAGAAATTCCAAGAGAAATTGCTTATTTCTCGCAGATGTAATATCTGAGAAAATCGAATTTAAATATTCATAGAAACCCAAATCATTCTCCGGTTCGAATAATTCATCTGTTGCTTTTTCTGTTTTTTCTATGAATTTTAATAATTTGATTAATAAATCTTCATCAGGAAGAATTATTGCTGCATTTGTGATAAAATTCCATATTGAGGTAATATGGCAATAATTACATTTATAAAATGTAATTTTATCCAAAATTTTTTGGCAAATTCGCATAATAGCATTAATATTTGAAGCTGAGATTAAACCTGTGATTACTTCTGTAACTTTTGGAAAATCATCGCAATTTAATATCTCTTTATATTGAATTGAGAAATAAAAAAATCAAATGGATTCATTTCTTCAATTTCAAGGAGATTGTAAAAATTGATAGAAGTGTTATTGCAACAAATTGTATTTGCAGCAAAAAATATCATTTGCTCGATTCCATTTTTGGAATAAATTTGCTGGAACAATGTTAAATTAAAACAGTTGCTTAATTTTTCTTCATTGTTTTCATAAAAAAGTAACAAGTTTGCAACTGAAATTTCAAAATTTGATAATTGCCAGTTATTCAGTAAATATATATATTTGCTTTCTTCATCTAAAAATGGCAAATATTGATTTGCAATATTAACTAAAGTTTGGGATAAATTGTTCCAGTTTGATTTTACAATTTGTGAGCACATTATGTAATATGTAAATTTATCCGCTTTGTAGGAATTTAAATTGTTTGTTGTTCTGTTTCAGTTAAATTACTGAATTTTTCAAGATTAATATTGTGATAAAAAATAGAATCCTTGAAACATTCTGATATCTTTTCAATGTTTAAAACGGATGCTAAAAAATGTAAAAGAACTTCATCAGTCACTGTGATTTTTTTGAAAAATTTATCCCAATTCAAGCATCCAATTGATCTTTCTGTCATTGTACTTATGCATTGATAAAGTTGATTTAATGAATCCGAAGAATAATCATTATGCTTGACTAGTTGAGTTAGTTGATACAGACTGTCGTCAGCCATTTTAAAAAATGAATAAAATTGTATAGTAATTATATTTGTGAAATTTGTGACGCTACATTCAATCTAAGACCAATATCTCAAAGAATTCCTCATTTAAGTATTACTTTTCATTTTTGATTCAATTTTCGAACGGTTTTCGTAAATTTTGCATCATTTCATTTTTTAATGGGAAATCATCTATATTTAATCAAAAAAGAGCAAACTTTACAGACGAAAATAAAATATTTATCAGGGAACAATCTGATAAATACCAAAAATCAACATCGAGACATGAAAAAACGAATATAATCAAACAAGTTCTTCAATATTTTAATATTAAATACGCCGAAAATGAATCTAAAGCTGTCAGAAGATATTTTAGTTATATTGCAGTTAAAAATATTCCCGCAGTTACTGGAAAATATCCTGATACAATTGTTCGCAAAGATATGCTTTATTCGCATGATCATACAAATATTATTAATTCAAATAATATTGAACGTTACTACCGTTGCATCGATCATTCTTGTCAAGCACGTTATTTAGTTAAAATTGAGAACAGTTCAGTTTCCGAAGATTTACAAAAGGAACATATACCCGAATGCAGACAATTTAAAAAGTTACAAAATGAAAAAAATGATCTTCATAAATCAATGACTCTGACAGAAATATACAATAAGGCAATGGCAAAATTTTCTGAAGACAACGGCACTTTTCAGCAGATTAAAAAATTTATGACAGAACTTGCTGTTGGTACTGATGAAAACCCATTAATTAAAGATTCATTGGTCAGGGAAGTTTATAATAAGTCCAGAAAATTTTCTGTTGGAGAAAAAATTACAGACAATGAAATTGCTAATTTTTGTTTAATAAATGGCGAGCAGTTTTTCATTGGCCATGATTTTCAATCAAATTGTGAGACGATGTTTTTTGGTTTTGAGAAGGCAATTCAATTTGCAAAAGAAGCCACAGATTTATTTTGCGATGGAACTTTTAAAATTACACCAAAACATTTTCAAAAAGGACAGATGCTAACAATTATGATTTGTGAACCTTCAGCAAATCAATATCTACCACTTTTATTTATATTCATGAAAAACCGCACATTTGAATCTTATAAGAAGGCATTTGAATATATTTTTACTGTCAAGAGTATTCAATTTTCAAAGCTAATTCAAATTCATTGTGATTTTGAAAAGGGAATGATAGAGGCACTTCAACAAATTTTCCCTAAAGTCCGTATAATTGGATGCCTATTTCATTTCAAACAAGCTTTACACAGGAAACTTGTAGCACTTTATACAAAAAATTTCAATACTTTACAAAATTCTTTATTTAAGCTATATTCTATTACTCCATTCATGTCTCATGAAGAATTTGTACTTACAATGCATATAATTAATCAAAATAAAGTTGATTCGATCAAAGATTATATTGATTATTTCAACAGAGTGGGGGACAAACTCGCCCATTGTCACTTTTCATTAACCTTAATCTTGTAATTTTCATTATTTTTAATTAACCTTATTTCTTTCCCAATTCCTGATTTATTTTATTCACTTACTATTAAAAGTCACATTTTAATAAAATATAATAATTTATTTATAGCATTTTTTACTATACTGTAATAAAAAATTAATTATAATAAATTAAATGTTTATTAAATCAAATGTTTTCTTTGCAATAATATTTTTAATGTTGAGTAAACAATGTTGGGATCAAGTGTATCATTTTTCAGACCTTTCTGAACAGCTTCAAGCATACTGATGCATTCGACTTTTTTAAATTGTGTCATTTCTTCGAAATCTCTTGTGACTTTTTTGATAACTTTAACACTTCTCTCTGAATCCAGACCTTTAATTTGCAACTTAATCAGGAATGAAGGAACAACACTGGAATATAACTCGATGACAAGTTCATCGAGTCGAAGATTTGGTTGTACACCACTTGTATGTGCCGGATACCATTGTGTCAAATTTTTTCTGAAATTAACTTTAAAA